GTATACGGACTTTAGAGTAGTTTATAATCCATACTATGGAGTAGTCTATAGTCCAGACTATAGAGAAGTCTATTGTCCAGACTATAGAGAAGTCTATTGTCCAGACTATAGAGAAGTCTATAGTCCAGACTATAGAGAAGTCTATAGTCCAGACTATAGAGTAGTCTATAGTCCAGACTATAGAGTAGTCTATAGTCCAGACTATAGAGTAGTCTATAGTCCAGACTATAGAGTAGTCTATAGTCTAGACTATAGAGTAGTCTATAGTCTAGACTATAGAGTAGTCTATAGTCTAGACTATAGAGTAGTCTATAGTCCAGACTATAGAGTAGTCTATAGTCCAGACTATAGAGTAGTCTATAGTCCAGACTATAGAGTAGTCTATAGTCCAGACTATAGAGTAGTCTATAGTCCAGACTATAGAGTAGTCTATAGTCCAGACTATAGAGTAGTCTATAGTCCAGACTATAGAGTAGTCTATAGTCCAGACTATAGAGTAGTCTATAGTCCAGACTATAGAGTAGTCTATAGTCCAGACTATAGAGTAGTCTATAGTCCAGACTATAGAGTAGTCTCTAGTCCAGACTATAGAGTAGTCTCTAGTCCAGACTATAGAGTAGTCTATATTCCAGACTATAGAGTAGTCTATAGTTTAGACTATAGGGTAGTCTATAGTTTAGACTATAGGGTAGTCTATAGTCCAGACTATAGAGTATTCTATAGTACATACTTTAGAGTATTCTATAGTACATACTTTAGAGTATTCTATAGTACATACTTTAGAGTAGTCTATAGTCCAGACTATAGAATAGTTTATAGTCCAGTCTATAGAGAAGGCTATAGTCCCGACTATAGAGAAATCTTATGTTTAGATTGTAGAGTTGTGTATAGTCCAGACTATAGAGTGGTCTATAGTCCAGACTATAGAGTAGTCTATAGTTCAGACAATAGAGGGACTATAAAGTATTTTCGATGGTCCAGTCTATAGTCTAGACTGTAGAGTAATCTAAAAAGTTGTCTTTAATCGAGACTAGAGCTTGATTTGACATATTTCCTTTATAATGTTTTGCTAAACCGAAAAATGCCCTATTTAATTTTGTTATGTGTTGTTATATAAAACTATAATAAAAGAAAATAATTGTATATTTAATACATTTTAAATAAAATTTATTAAAAACAAATTTTATAATACAGGTATTAATTAATTAACACGCACATTTTATAAATATTTCACTGGTCATTGAGTCAGTTCTACGGACAAACAAATAACTAAAACTGGCCAGTTACTTAGTCACTGAGTCAGTGGGTTAAGACGGATTATTATTTTTTTTTTTTTTTTAACAAACAAATAAATTAATAAACAACTACTGACAGTTTAAATTTTTATAAATAGCAAATAATAATTGTTTGGCTGTTTTAGCCATAATTGTTTTCAGGTTATTAGTTGATGTATAGAAATTTTGTAAGGTGATGAACGTTATGAATTTCTTTGTTGCTGCATGTGTTTCAAGTGAACAAATATTTCAAAATTTTACTTTTCTTTAGTAAGTTTTACAAAACTTATTTATTTCATATTATAACATGCACTTTAAATGCGGAAAGTATAAATATTAACAATTTTCATAAACTATAATAAATTTCGTATTTTGTGTGCTTTTTATTCGATTTTAGTTTTAATTTTAAAATATAAAACACAGTTTGTAGTTATGGTTTAATTTTTGCACAGCAATTGTTTGTAAATTACATAAAACGTTGAAAAATTTGAAAAATTGTATAAATAATAATAAAAAAATAAATAAATTAACCAAAAAAAAAAAAAACATTTGTTACATGTGCGCGGTCAGTTTATGTGAGAGTCTGTCTGTCTGTCGGTTTTGATAATAAAAATTAATGAGAATGAAATTTTGTATTGCATGTAATACAATTTCGTTGTTACTCTAATATTATTGTTACTGGGAGTCTTGGAAAGAAATTTTTTACATTTAATTATTTTATACTAATATTAACGGATTTTAAATTGTGGTTTTTTCTTCGGGTTTTATAATGATTTGTCTGGATTTTAAAGACTTTAGTGTTTGTCTAAATATTTCGCTAGTTCCTAGTATCCTGCATATCTTTACAAAAATGCAGCAGGAAGTAGATTAAACTACTGTCAAATGAAAATTTCATAATTACAGCAATTTTTTACCTTTGTTTTGAAAACGTTTTGTTTATAATTAAATATCTTATCTGTTAAACAATAAATGCACAAAAGATACTATATTTAACATTTCATCGAAATTAAATGTAAACAATGACATTTTTATAAGAAAAACAAAATGATTTTGATTCATTATTATCCTATCTCTAGTAAATGAATTAATTGATTAATAATTTTGTCCAAGGTCGTTGCAATATTTCAATACATATAAAACTTAAATAGTTATCTTAATTGTTAATACGTAAAAAAAAAAATGAAATAAAAATTTAAGTCTACTAAATAGATTACTAATTAGTAAACCAACAAGCTCATTTAAAAGAAAGTAGATAAGAATTTTATGATTAGTGCAGACAATATTTTCTCAGTTGTACGATTTCTGGATTGATTCGAATTATATTTTTTAAGTATTATGAATTTTAATCTTTGCAATTGTTTACTTTTCACATCCTAAGTAATCTAGCGGGAGATCATTTAACTATATCTAAGTAATCTGGATAGTTCGGGCTTTTCTTTAGCAGTGATAATATCTAACTTATTCCTAGCAATCTAATCAAATTCTTCCATTTTACTTAAAGCTTTCCAGAGATGCTTTTAAAAAGTTTTTATCAAAAGTTTTCATATAGTCAAAAATATAAGTTGTTAAAAGCTATGTAGAAGTGCTTTCAGCCTTAATAACATTCAATCAGAGATACTCAAAGAGCTTTCTTATGACCACACAAGTAAAAAAAAAAGATATTATCTTGACTCTTTGCCAAAATGTGTTTTACTGCTTAGAACATTTTCAGTCTTATTAATTTCAATTAAGCCAATCAAAATCTTCCAGTTTACTTAAAGCTTTCTAGAAACGCATTCTAAAAATAAATCGTAAAAACGTTTTTAAAAATTTTTATCATGTAGTCAATAATAAAAGTTGTTAAAAGCTTTATAGAAGTGCTTTCAGGCTTAATAACTTTCAATCAGAGATACTCAAAGAGCTTTCTTATGACCACACAAGTAAAAAAAAAGATATTATCTTGACTCTTTGCCAAAATGTGTTTTACTGCTGTGTAACACTTTCAGTCTTATTAATTTCAATTAAGCCAATCAAAATCTTACTTAAAGCTTTCTAGAGACGCTTTTTAAAAATAACTATTAAAACTTTTAATTTAGTCAAAAGTCATCTAGAAGTGTTCGTTCAAATAATATTAAAGTTTTCTCAAAACTTTCGTGTTAAAGCTCTCTGTAATCCGTAATCACTTTGAACATGTTAGTCAGTCAGATATGTTATCACTTTTTGCCCAACCCTGCTTTTCTGTGGTAAAATGTTTTCTTATAAAGCTGTTCGATTTGATTCTAAATAATGGAGAAGAAAGAGAGCAGGGAAAGTCGGTACCAAACTTTCGAAATATAGCTTTAACGCTATAAAAGATTATCATTGCATCGATTAAAAGTGGATCTATAACGATAACACGAAGCGTAAGAGATCGAAGCGTAGGAGCCATGGGGCGAAGGTAATGGCTTTGTATTTGATGGGACCAAATTGGTCCTATAGCTGAAATCTGGCCAGACCTGTACAGAGAATCTATACCGAATGCAAATGATTCAGTGGCTGTAAAATATCCAGAATAAGTGGCCAGATATGATATCGTAATATTCAATAATAACAAGGAATACATTTTTAAAACCATTTAGAAAGGAGTGGTTGGCAAGTTTGGCCTTTCCAGTCTTATAGTCCCGATTTTTTTTTGGAATTCTATTTGTTTTGATCGATGTCCCTCCTGATCTAATGCGACTTGCTTGTTTTTTGAATCATTTCAAAAAATGAGGAGAGCCATACGACTATCAAATTTTCCATCCGTATTTTCTCTCAATGTGTGATGGTTTCATTACATATTGCGTTTAGACGATCCCATGCGTACTCTTCTACACAAAATTTTGACAGATCATATTACTTGTGTGCTGGTGTAAAGGGGGCTTTAATAGATAGGAACGTTGATTTAATCGATCGAGAGTACTGCGTTACATCACCTGCTTTTGTTATTAGTCAAATGTTAGGAAAAAATCGGCTCATGTTTTAAAGTTCATTACCACTACAGTGAAGAGAATACTATGAGAATATAGCAGGCATCGGCAGAGAGTATGACAATCATAATCTTTTTGTAAAAAGGCAATGGTCCACGATTTTATCATGATAATCTTTTCAGAATATTGTTTAAATATGTTTATAAATGTAGAAATCTGAGCGTAAAGAATGACTGAAATGTAAATGCTCATTATAGTTATATTGTATGAGGATCGGTTCATTGGTTAACTTGAATTTTCAAGTAAAATGCAAAAACCGGAAATACAAATTTTGTTTAGAATGTCAAAATTTTCAATAAAATTTTGACTAAGAATTCCTCATTAAAGTAATAGCAAATGGCCAAGGTCTTTTAAATAAAAGTAAATTTGCTCTTAATTTTGCAGCAACAGATAAATAAATTTAATTATTTGCCATGAAAAAAAAAAACTAAATAGGTACTTTAATTAATGAGTTTTTGCCTATTTCATTTGAATTTTTCTACGTTTTAAATTTAAAACAAACAAATCTATAAATGAAAAAAACCCCAACGCCTTACTAATAAAAGAAGACTTAAGATAAAAATGTATTTTGTATGATTAATCCAAATTGCAATTACCCAAGGTTTTACAACTTGCAGTAAATTTGTTTTGTTGTTATTATTATACTGCAACTTTTTTTAATGTGTTGTTAAAAACTGGTTTTTGTGGAGGGAAAAAAATTAAGGAAAAACACTCTATATAAAAAAAAAAATAAACTTACCCAACATGCTGTTCTCTTTGGCATCCTCACAGCGACCCACTACTCGAATAACACCACGACCAGCTACAGGTGAAAATGTAACAATTCCACCAATTCTGGCAATATGAGGCGGTACTCGAGGATCATCTTCATATGGTTGATTTGTGTTAATGCCGCTGCTGTTGTTATTATTATTGCCATTATTATTGTTGTTGTTGTTATTATTGTTGTTATTGTTATTATTATTGTTGTTGCCATTATTGGCAATATTTGTAATATCGTTACCGAATGGACGCATTTTGTTTGATTTGTTTTTTGCTTAAGTTTGTTTTGAAGTTAATAGTTTTTTTTCTTAATTATTTTTTTTTATGTTTTTTTCTTTAATTTTAAAAACACTTTTTTTATAGTTTCCAATATCTTCCTATAACACTTTTTTTTATTAAAAAAAATATATAGTAAAATCTTTTTTATATTATCTATATTCTCTTTTTAACTTGTTTGTAAATTTATCATTAATTAATTTCTTTTTTTTATTAATTATAAATTTTCTTTAATTTTCAGTTACAAACCGTCTGGTAAGTCTTCCGTTTTTCAAATGTTTCAAAAGCTTTTACATCAGCTGTTTTTATACCAACGTTAAAATCCAAACAAAAGAAAATTCAAAACAAAACTCATTCACACAAACTCAGGTCAATTACTAACCAATAGTATATACGTAGATACAAATGTATCTACAACGTATTGAAAAATAAATACAAAAGCAAAACAAAAAAAAATAAAAATCAAGCAACATTCATCTATTATTTTGTGTGTTTATTGTGACGTGATTTTTATTTGTTTTATTTTATTTTTTAATGCGATCGTACATTTGCGTCTTTTATTTTTTGTTTGTTTACAATTTGTCTCTCTTCGCTGTTTTTTTCGCTCTCATACTCTCACTATTAATATTTTAGTGGAAAGCTTTTTCAATTATGGCACAGAGTTGCCATTTATTGTGGTTATTAGTGATTGTCGGTCAAAAAAGATGATATAAATTCCGCTGAAAAGTCTTGTTATACCCATCATAAAAACAAGAGAAAGTATAGTCGGCGTGGCCGACCATATGATGCCCTACACCAATTATCAATATTAAATGTGATTTATTTTTCATAATAAAGCACATATCTTGAATATTACCTTGATTCCGATGTATTTAAGCAATTTATTGACGAAAAACTAATTTTCTAAAAGAGGTTTTATATGAGGGATGGGAGCAAATGTGTACCGATCCCGATAAAATGGGCTGGATAGATTTGTATTTATATAATATTTGTTTGTGCTAAATTTCATTGCAATAACAGTGTTAATAAATGAATTGCGGATATTCAAGTCACTTTCTGAAGGGGGCTAGGGTCAAATGAAGTCCGATCATTTCGAAATTCGGCAAGGTCATCAAGGCTTGTATAAAACTTAGTTGTGCGAACTTTCATCGGGATACATTTTTATTATACATAATTATGAGCTTAAAAGCCCTCTTCGGGGGGTGTTATTCGATTTTTCAATAGGCTTCATCCTTGGGTCAAAACAAACGTGTATTCCAAATTTCATCAAGTTATCTTGAAAATTGCAACCTGTACTTTGATAACAACGTTTACATGAACACACGGACGGTCGGACGAACGGACATCTTTAAATAACAAGAAAGAATTTATAGTCGGACATGGCCGGTTATATAATACCCTACACCATAGATTATATTTAAAATGCTGATAATATTTTAACAATTTGTTGACAAAAAAGGGGATTTTCTAAAAGAGGTGTTATATGGGGGCAGGGGGTTAATATAGTCCCATCCTTATAACTGTTGGTAGAGGCATTTAAGTCTACATAAGTTATTGATGCAGAATATCATCGTAATATTAGTGTTTATAAGTGAATTTTGACCATCAAGCCATTTTCTAAAGGGGACTTTGTATAGGGGATAGGGTCAAATGAGGCTCGATCATTACGAAAATCAGCTGTATCATTAAGACTTATTTATATAAAACAAAGTGTTACCGATTTTTGAAGTGATACAACAATATATTTATGATCTCAAAAACCCTATTAGGTGGTACGGTTGTATGGGAGCTATACGTAATAATGCACCAATTTTAACCATTTTCAATAGAAAAGAAAATTGCGACCTGTGGAGTGCGCACAAGGTTTACATGGGCATACAGACAGACAGGCAGACAGACGTACGAACGGACGGATGCACATTGCTAAATCGACTCAGATAGTGATTCTGAGCCGATTGGTATACTTTAAGGTGGGTTAAGAACCACCCTTAAAAAAGGGTGGGGGAATACATTCAAATATTGGTTTAAGATTACTGAGCTTCTAAGACTAGCTATGTCTGTTCGTCCGTATGTTGAAAACAGAAATATTCTCTATTGGGACCGCAAGTGCCATACCGGACTTTAAACAGTTGATTATGCAAATTCAAAAAAAAAAAAAAAAATGGACAAATTAGTTTTATAACCAACATCAGTTCATATTTGACACTATCTGCCATATAAGGTAAATAATTGACTATCTCCCCATTTGAGATCATATCTGAAAATAAATTTAATGCTAAAAAAAGTCTTTAAAATTGAAGTATAGCAATGAAATTCGACCAAATTTCATGAGAATCAGTTCATAATTGGCATTATCCCTAATATAACACTTCTTAATGGTAATAAAATTTTTGACAATAATGTCAAAAATGATTTGTGTAAAGATATTATACACTTTTTCAAATATTGAGAGCTTGGCCCATTATAGACCCCCAATAAACCCAATATACATATATTAAGAAAATGAGCCTGACGTTCATATTCCGGTTAAATGTAATAAGTATTTAAACCGTAAAAAAATAATTTACAAAAGATTGATCTATAAAGACCCAATTTAGGGCAACCTTCCTACGACACATTGGCAACTTTACTCCTTAGATATACTCTGTATAATAAGAAGCTTTCATTTTCAATGACTTTGTCTCTTTTAGACCTATGCTGACTAAATGCCAGTGGCGTTTTACATCAAGTTAAAACTTAAATTTTTTTGCCAATTTATTTTCTTGTTTTTCTTAATTTTATCAAACTGCAGGTATTTTAATTTTAATTATAGTTTTAGCTCGTTTTATGCGTTTATTTTAGCGTTTTTTTTTTTATTCTTTTTTTTTATTACATTTCAAATGTTATGGTTCTTTTCGTATTATTTAATTGCTATTAAGAAGAAGTGCGCCAATTTTGTAAAAGTGCCAATATTTATTTTTAAACAATTAGAAAATTTTGGCACACACATCTTAGAATGTTTTTTTATTTTGCATTTTCGTATTTTTAACATAAAATTAGAAAGCAAAAACGCATTCATTACTAAGAATTGCAAAATTTATTGTTAAATGTGATAGATTGAGTACAAAAACAAATCTCGTTTTATTTATTTTTGTTAAAAAAAAACTTTGCAATCTGTTGTATGTAGATGATAAATGTCATGTGATTATTTTGTAAGAAATAGAAATTGTTTTGAAATTGTGAATAGAAATGAAGGACTTGTAATTAATTATAATTATGGCGGGGAAAATATTATTAACCTAGATTTTTTGAAGGTTTTTTGTTAAAAAAAATATTTAGTTTAAATTTGTAATACCCAATAATAATGTTTCCACAGCCAATGCAATGGCAATTTGTATACATGGTTATGCTAGTCCATGTACAAGCACTTTACTCAAGTAATTTAGTTATCTAGTCTCTGACAATTGCCGCGCCGTTGCTTAAGTAGAGACGTAATCAGTAGACCGATATACGCATTCATCAAGTAAGCTGAAGACTTCTTTTACTTAAAGAGAACACACAGTGGTAAATCTAGTATGAACAGGGTAAGCCCTGAACATGCCCGGACTATTAAGGAAAATTCAATGGTATCACTTTTATAAGATACCAAAAATCCAATACTATTCATGAGCATTCATCCGAAACACTCATTGAGAAAAACATCCAACACACTCATTCTAGATATGTATGTAATAATACACTTTCTTTTAAACAATATTATCCTTTCGTGAGTTTGGGTTTAAACTACAGGTAATACGAGACAAAGTCCAAAACCCTGTACTGGGGGCTATCGGTTCTCGTGGTACTAGATGCTAAGGCTCACTTGTTTGACCCCAGTCCAAATAATTCCAAGCGCCGACGTATTTGACTGCACCAGTTTATAATCCCAGCTTGGAGGTGTTGGCAGCACCTCTTTTCCCACGGATTGCAACAACAGTAAGATGGGAAAGATTATCAAGGTAAAATGCCACAGAGGGAATACCAAAAGAGACAGAACGGCCTTGTATAGTTAGTTAGTTAGTTTGTTAGTAGTTAGTTAGTTAGTTAGTTAGTTAGTTAGTAGTAGTAGTTAGTTAGTTAGTAGTTAGTTAGTTAGTTAGTTAGTTAGTTAGTTAGTAGTTAGTTAGTTAGTTAGTTAGTTAGTTAGTTAGTTAGTTAGTTAGTTAGTTAGTTGTTAGTTAGTTAGTAGTTAGTTAGTAGTTAGTTAGTTAGTTAGTTAGTTAGTTAGTTAGTTAGTTAGTAGTTAGTAGTTAGTTAGTTAGTTAGTTAGTTAGTTAGTTAGTTAGTAGTTAGTTAGTTAGTTAGTTAGTAGTTAGTTAGTAGTTAGTTAGTTAGTTAGTTAGTAGTTAGTTAGTTAGTTAGTTAGTTAGTTAGTTGTTAGTTAGTTAGTTAGTTAGTTAGTTAGTTAGTTAGTTAGTTAGTTAGTTAGTTAGTTAGTTAGTTAGTTAGTTAGTTAGTTAGTTAGTAGTTAGTTAGTTAGTTAGTTAGTTAGTTAGTTAGTTAGTTAGTTAGTTAGTTAGTTAGTTAGTTAGTTAGTTAGTTAGTTAGTAGTTAGTTAGTAGTTAGTTAGTAGTTAGTTAGTTAGTAGTTAGTAGTTAGTTAGTTAGTTAGTTAGTAGTTAGTTAGTTAGTTATTGTTAGTTAGTTAGTTCGTAGTAGTTAGTTAGTAGTTAGTTAGTTAGTTAGTTAGTTAGTTAGTAGTTAGTTAGTTAGTTAGTTAGTTAGTTTGTTAGTAGTTGTTAGTTAGTTAGTTAGTTAGTTAGTTAGTTAGTTAGTTAGTTAGTTAGTTAGTTAGTTAGTTAGTTAGTTGAGTTAGTAGTTAGTTAGTAGTTAGTTAGTTAGTTAGTTTGTTAGTTAGTTAGTTAGTTAGTTAGTAGTTAGTTAGTTAGTTAGTTAGTTAGTTAGTTAGTTAGTTAGTTAGTATTAGTTAGTTAGTAGGTTAGTTAGTTAGTTAGTTAGTTAGTTAGTTAGTTAGTTAGTAGTTAGTTAGTAGTAGTTAGTTAGTTAGTTAGTTAGTTAGTAGTTAGTTAGTTAGTTAGTTAGTTAGTTAGTTGTTAGTTAGTTAGTTAGTTTAGTTAGTTAGTAGTTAGTTAGTTAGTAGTTAGTTAGTTAGTTAGTTCAAGTTGTACCGAAAAGTTTCGGTTTTCGGTAAAGTATTTCCCCGATACCTTACATCACGTTTAACAAAAAATCCCAAATATTTTGGACTTTCATAAGGTCGCAGGAATACTTTTCCAATTTCGAGATAGAAAGCTTTTTAAATTTTGTTTCAAATTCTCTTTTTATATGTACTAAATTCTCTTATTTAAAACTAACAAATGATTGTTTTATTTACCACAAGCAATGATCACACGTTTCGATCAAAAGCAAAATTAAAAGTTTGAAAAGATAATTTTTAGCAAATAAAACTATTTGCCAGTATGACACATTTTGTGCGCTACATTTAAGCTAAAAGAAATTAACAAAAAAATATTTGCAGAAAACACAACGTAAATATTATTTGGCTGGCAGCCAAAAAGAACAATATTTCCTGAGTACCGTGACTCGGTCAATATTTTTTATTATTTTCATATTGTTGCTGATGCCGCTGCTGTTGTCGTTGTTTTTATAGTGTTTATAATTGAAACAAGCAGGCAGCAATGTTGATGGATTCTTGTTTTTTTTTTTTTTTTGTTGCTCAATGTAAATAAATAATAAATTATGAACAAATTATGGGAATCTCATATACGAACAGGAATTTGAAAAAAAGAACGAAGAAACAATTTATCAAAAACAATAAAAAATACGCATAAGGTGAATTTCCATCACATATTAATATGTATGTTTGAAATCTTGGCGTAAACAACGGAAGAAAGGAAATGTAAGTGACCGCTACTAGGAAAAGCATTCATTGTCATTGTAGTCTTTGTTGGCTAGAGAATGTAAAGTATTGAATATGAAAATCAACAGTTTTGTGACAAGGTAACGTAAAGCAATGCTAGAGAGGTTACTAAGTAAGAAACTATATTAGCTTACTTATTACTAGGTAATGAATTAAAACACTGAATACTTGTATATATTTACTTTTTTATTTTCTCATATTTCTTTTTCTTGTTTTGAATTCATAATTGAGTTTTTGTTAATAACAATTACATATTTAAAAACTAATAAAATACATAATTATTTGTTTAAAAGATTTTCCATTTCGTTTTAGAATTAAAACATCAAATACTGTTTGTTTTTCCTTTAGTTTTTGGGGTGTTTTTTTTAAACAATATTTTTATTTAACACTTGCTTTGGTTTATATTTATAGTAAATATATAATTTAAAACATTAAAATATAATTGGTGTATTTAAAACACTAAGTTGAACTCTGCTAAATTTATTTTTTTCAATAAATAATTAAAATATTTTCTTGGTTAGTTAAAAAAAGGCCTTTTTATAAATAAAATTTTGAATATGTTTTTCTCAATAAAGTTATAGTAAACGATTTTAAAAAGAACTATTCATAAAAACTAGTGCAATAGTAGTTGTAAAAATTAAAATTAAAACATACATTTTCAAAATTTTTCAAATACATCATACATATTGAGTTAAATGTTTTCACTGGTACGTACTAAATACGTTTACATTTATTAGTTTTAATTAAGTACTATTTTTCCATTTAGTATGTACGCTGGTTAGGGGGAATTTAGTTACAACCTTGTCTAAATTTTGAGGGTGAAAAGGGTTTGGTTTTTTGTCTACTGAAGCAATAGTTTTGCTTAATATTTGTTTCCCTTTGGTATTGTGAATCTATTGAGATTGTTTATAAATATCAAGCCTTGTTACACAATTATTTATCAGTTGTTTAAATATCTTAATTTTCTACTTTAGTTTTAGTTAGTATGTCGTTTTTTAATACTTCTTTCATTTTTTTTTTTTTTGGTATGTTTTAATTTGACTACTTCAAAATTCCATAATATGTTTTTAATGGTTTCAGCCTTATTTTTAAAAAAAATATTCAATATGTGGTTTTTTTAAACTTTTCATATCTAGATCTTTTCACATTTACTGCATGGCTACGCCTTGAGCATGCTGCAGACCAGTACATAAATATAACATTGTTACACTTAGGGCCTGGATACGTTCCTCGGATTTCCCTAAAATATTTGGATGTTGTGTTGTAGGATTTTCCGTTGTGGACAAAAGTTCTGTGCTGCCATTTTTCATTGAAGCCGTTAGATTCGAGTGAATAGCCGTTTCACTGTCCAGAGCCAAACGCAATTTTGAGAGCTGAAATGTGAGAAAGAAAATATTTTATGAGTAATGGTCTTTTCTTATGGCCCTCACTTTCGGTATAAGGATATATATGTATAAATTTGTCATTTCGTAATTTTTAATTTCTTCAATATAATTTTCCGTCCCTATAAAGTATATATATTCTGGATCCTTATATATTGCGGATTCAATCAAGTCATGTCCGTCCGTCTGTCTGTCCACTCATCTGTCTGTTGAAATCAATTTTCTCAAGACTCCAGATATCTTCGAGGTTCAAATCTTCAGTAATTCTGTCAGACATGCTTTCGAGAAGTCTGCTATTAAAAATCAGAAAAATCCGCCCATAAATAACTGAGATATGAACAAAAATCCGAGACAACCTCTGTAAGTTTCACAAAAAAAAGGAAAATTTTTTGCATGCTTTGACATAAAGCAACAACAATATTACTTATTGAAAAAAAACGTATGTTTGGACGTGTGTTGGTTTTAATGCTTTGCGTATTTTGTGTTTTTTCTTATTTGGTGTGAGTTGTAGTTGTTTTTTTAACACTCTATGTTGAAGGATATATACGATTCGGTAAAGGCGAATCTAGACTTCTCACCTTTTATCACTTAAACTATTCCGATACGATTACCAAATAATTTTCCGAATGTAATAGTACTTTCTGAGAATCCGATTTTAGTACTTAGGAGTTTAATATCCATTGTGAAGATCAAACCTATATATGTTAAGTAGAAATTACCCGAAAAGAAGTAGCCTATCAAAGATCAAAAGCAAGAAATCGATCGGAGGAAAAATAGTATATTCTGAGAGGCTGATCTCTATAGGAGAGGAATTTAAAGATCAGGAATGTAAAGATCATAGACAAACAATTTCCAATAAGATCCACAAGTATAAGTATTCCTAATTATTTTATCTGATGTTAAGAATATTTTACATAAAACTGGCCGATCATTATGTTTTGCTCATAGCCTTGGTATATTCGTCCTGCACTTTATTACAAAATGGCTTTTAATGATCTAACTTCGTAGATTTATATAAGCACGACCTTTTTAAATAGGAATCCAATTATCCAATCTCTTATAGAGCTAAAAGCCTTCTTACCAATGCATTAATTTTATCCACTCTCTCGGAACCATTGAAATCACCATACAGATTTTTGCTAGCATTCTTAGCCAAACTCATGACATCTTCATCCTTAGGTAGTAGCATTATATGCTCGGTAATTGAAATAATTTGTTCGGTCGAAAAACTAGTGACATCGGAGGGCAATGCTTCCAAACGTTGGGTAACCAAATCAAAAGTATTTGGACCTAAAGAAATCACTGAAGATTTTCTATAAATATAAAGATATATAAACTGTTCAAAATTTGAATATCACGAAATTTATATTAAAACGATTTACCTTGAGGGCGTATGTTGGGGAGTTGGTGGTAAACTTTTCGCTATCGAACCCGGTGTCATGCCACCCACACTACTAACATTGCCCGTAACACCCGCTATAGAAGATACTATGCCAGGTATGGCTAGATTATTAGCAGAATTAACACGCTTAATACCCTGAGCCAATAATCCGGTCAAACTTGAACGATGTACTTCCAAATTGCTGGGTGTCGGTGTAGTAGCATTCGATTTTTTATCAGTATTGTCAGCGCTGAAAACAATTTCGGTTTCTGCATCCAAACCATTACCAATGTCGGCTTCGGTAACCATGAATTCGGGTGTTGCCACCGTTGAGGTTGTTTGTTGTTGTTGTTGTTGCAGAGCAGAGGAACAATCTACCGGACCGCATACTGTGGCATTTTGACATTTATTAATGCATTTCTTGTGGCAACACATGAAACAATCGCGACACTGTACGGCATCTTTAAGCCAAATTTTCTTGCCACAAAAATCACATTGTGTGGCACGTTGAAAATGTGTGCGTATGAAGTTATGGGCTCGTGTTTGATAGGCTGTAGTATCAGTGGACTTGATGGAAATGGTGTCGGAGTAGCCGCTATCGTCAGTTTTATCTACCGAGGTGACAGATCTGAAACAAGTTGGAAAAAGTTGGATTTTAAACTCGTGTGTATTCCCTGAATAATATATGAGTAAAATATTTTGGTCCACAAACGTGATTGTCATAATTACTAGTATAATGATGTTTCATCACCATGAGATTGAAAATTTGAAACCTTAATTAAATATTACAAAGCTCGAAGGCCCTATATTTCAAATTTATTTTTGATTCACTTCAAGATTCTATAGAAGTCCATTTTTGTGCTATAACTTACTTTGATTTAATTTTCAATGTTTGTTTGGAGGGTGTCTCCGTGGCTGCTAAATTTGGATTACCATCCCAGGTAAAAGCAAATAATATATCACCAAAACATAAATTGGGATTAAAACCCGATTGGGTAGATAAATGATGATTTTTTCTGAAATTAAAAATAAATATAAATTAAAAATCTTTAAATCCCATTAAAACTTTTTCACAACTCACAAATCCTCTGGTATGGGTGGATTCAATTCATACGTCTTAAACGATTGACTCAAACTGGTCTCACAGCATTCGGCCAATATTTGATAAATGGGTATGTTGGTAAAACCCAACAGCTGGTTTTCTCCCAAAGACTTGCCGTAGACACAAACATTCAAATAACGACACTGGGGATCCAATTTAAAATTGCAAACATCTTCCATATGAATCAAAGTGGCCAATTTACAATCGACTGTAGAATGCTGATAATAGTGTTCCACATCATTCACCCCAGTACCAAATGAGCTAAGTAGACTTTCGCAATTTGTTTTAGACGGAACCTTGTGTAGAGTAGCTTGTTTGGCTAAGACTTTAGCTTTTGATTTGGACTCCTCATCTTTAAGACTATCACTATGATCTCGACTAATGGTTTTCTTTAATGCCTTCGCTATGAGTTTTGTCTTTTTGGGTGAATTGGTAGGAGTATTCGATAGACTGGACTCACTGCTGGTGCCCTTGTCAATGCTACTGCGTATGGGTATAGTGTCAGTGGGTTTGGCAGCAGCGCCATAGCCACTTTTATTATCACCTACATCTTCATATATGTCTAAATCCTCTAAAATGGCATCGTTGCGTATTATGCCCGGTATGACGCGATCAATGCGCAAACTAAAATTATTCGTTTGAAGACCCTTAATAATTTTGGCTACTTGCTGTATGGTAGTCACACGTTTCCCTTCTATGGCCAATAGGATATCACCCACTTTTAGATTCGATTTACAGGCTGGTGTATTGGGTAACACTGCCTCTATCTCTACCATATCGGCCGAGGATTGTTTGAATATTATGCCAATTTGTTGATTTTTAGCTTTATGTATTTCTACATCTAGAGAAACCATAACATGACGATCATCTTGCTGATGAGCCTCTACAAATGCCAACGAAGCCATAGTTATGGAACAATAAATATCTGTTAAATGTGCCGGGCACATGAGTCGAGATATTTCCGATACTTTAACTTCCAATACACCATTCGGTTGTATACCCTCACTTTCGCCCACATCCTCCTCGGGAGTCTTGTGGAAAAATGGTTTATAACGTAGTTTATAATTGGGTAAGGTATGCTTACGTCTAACCGCTTTGCGTATTTGATTCGATATTAAACTGGTTATATTGGATTGCATTTGACGTCCTTGATATTTTGATTCGATGGCTAAGTCTAATTCGGGATCACCCAGAAAACTAAGAGACCAATGTGTATAGGGATTGCGGGTGAACTGTAAACGTGCTAAGCCGGATAGCTGTTTGACTGTAAAGGAAATAATTTTTAATAATATTTTTAATAACATAATTAGTTATATTAACCGAACCAACTAACCTTTTAATGTCAATGAACCCTTCTTGCCCAGCACCATATCAGCATCTATTGATGTACGGAAATTGCCCATATAATGAATTTCCAATAATAAATCTAAATTCTCAATACGTTCGCCACTTTCATCCAATTCAACATTATGAACTCTTAAGGTTTTTATCTCCGGAAATTGATCACCCAACTCAAGTTGTTTTATCTGCAACAGAAATAAAACAAAACGTGTGCATTAATAACAACAACAATAATAACCAGTTGAGAATGAAAAACAAGTGAGAAAAAAAAAACTCATATAAAACAAATGAGACAATGAGTAAATAACCAGACTAATTAATGTCACAAATTAACACCTACAGACACAAATGCTTATGAATGTAATAAGAGAATGTGTAAAATATCATAGAGAAAAAAAGCTACCAGCAATTTACATAAAAATACGAAAAAAAAAAAAACAACAACAACGACAACAGCAGCTGTAAACAAAAGATGTAATTGTCTGTGTTTTTATAAAGCTAAAGGATAATAATGGCGAAAACTATAAAAGGGGATGTAGTTTTATACGAAACGGTATTAGGCGAATATTTGAATGCCCTAGAAGTAACGAATACAAGTGTTTGAAAATAATTAATCTTTATGAGAATGCTCCAGTTATGGCATATCGTTTTCCATAAACAGACGGCAACACTACGTAATGTTGAAAACATTGCAACTATTCGTTGTTGAAATCTAAATTTTATACACATCCGTTGTCTAAATGTTAACAAACGTGGTAAGCTCACATTTGACAAACAATACGTTGCTTATAGGGACCTCACCACGTTTGTTAACATTTAGGCAACGGATGTCTATAAAATTTAGATTTCGACAACGAATTGTTGCAATGTTGACAACGTTGCCTTAGTTAGTTAGTTAGTTAGTTAGTTACTTAGTTACTTAGTTAGTTAGTTAGTTAGTTAGTTAGTTAGTTAGTTAGTTAGTTAGTTAGTTAGTTAGTTAGTTAGTTAGTTAGTTAGTTAGTTAGTTAGTTAGTTAGTTAGTTAGTTAGTTAGTTAGTTAGTTAGTTAGTTAGTTAGTTAGTTAGTAGTTAGTTAGTTAGTTAGTAGTTAGTTAGTTAGTTAGTTAGTTAGTAGTTAGTTAGTTAGTTAGTTAGTTAGTTAGTTAGTTAGTTAGTTAGTTAGTAGTTAGTTAGTTAGTTAGTTAGTTAGTAGTTAGTTAGTTAGTTAGTTAGTTAGTTAGTTAGTTAGTTAGTTAGTTAGTTAGTTAGTTAGTTAGTTAGTTAGTTAGTTAGTTAGTTAGTTAGTTAGTTAGTTAGTTAGTTAGTTAGTTAGTTAGTTAGTTAGTTAGTTAGTTAGTTAGTTAGTTAGTTAGTTAGTTAGTTAGTTAGTTAGTTAGTTAGTTAGTTAGTTACAACACTATCCACTAGCCACAAATCACAGCTATAGTAAATAGTTATTTCCATACAAACTTAAGTCCTTTTTCATGTAATGTTGACAACGTTGCCTTAGTTAGTTAGTTAGTTAGTAGTTAGTTAGTTAGTTAGTTAGTAGTAGTTAGTAGTTAGTTAGTTAGTTAGTTAGTTAGTTAGTTAGTTAGTTAGTTAGTTAGTTAGTTAGTTAGTTAGTTAGTTAGTAGTTAGTTAGTTAGTTAGTTAGTTAGTTAGTTAGTTAGTTAGTTAGTTAGTTAGTAGTTAGTTAGTTAGTTAGTTAGTTAGTTAGTTAGTTAGTTAGTAGTTAGTTAGTTAGTTAGTTAGTTAGTTAGTTAGTTAGTTAGTTAGTTAGTTAGTTAGTTAGTTAGTTAGTTAGTTAGTTAGTTAGTTAGTTAGTTAGTTAGTTAGTTAGTTAGTTAGTTAGTTAGTTAGTTAGTAGTTAGTTAGTTAGTTAGTTAGTTAGTTAGTAGTTAGTTAGTTAGTTAGTTAGTTAGTTAGTTAGTTAGTTAGTTAGTTAGTTAGTTAGTTAGTTAGTTAGTTAGTTAGTTAGTTAGTTAGTTAGTTAGTTAGTTAGTTAGTTAGTTAGTTAGTAGTTAGTTAGTTAGTTAGTTAGTTAGTTAGTTAGTTAGTTAGTTAGTTAGTTAGTTAGTTAGTTAGTTAGTTAGTTAGTTAGTTAGTTAGTTAGTTAGTTAGTTAGTTAGTTAGTTAGTTAGTTAGTTAGTTAGTTAGTTAGTTAGTTAGTTAGTTAGTTAGTTAGTTAGTTAGTTAGTTAGTTAGTTAGTTAGTTAGTTAGTTAGTTAGTTAGTTAGTTAGTTAGTTAGTTAGTTAGTTAGTAGTTAGTTAGTTAGTTAGTTAGTTAGTTAGTTAGTTAGTTAGTTAGTTAGTTAGTTAGTTAGTTAGTTAGTTAGTTAGTAGTTAGTTAGTTAGTTAGTAGTTAGTTAGTTAGTAGTTAGTTAGTTAGTTAGTTAGTTAGTTAGTTAGTTAGTTAGTTAGTTAGTTAGTTAGTTAGTTAGTTAGTTAGTTAGTTAGTTAGTTAGTTAGTTAGTTAGTTAGTTAGTTAGTAGTTAGTTAGTTAGTTAGTTAGTTAGTTAGTTAGTTAGTTAGTTAGTTAGTAGTTAGTTAGTTAGTTAGTTAGTTAGTTAGTTAGTTAGTTAGTTAGTTAGTTAGTTAGTAGTTAGTTAGTTAGTTAGTTAGTTAGTTAGTTAGTTAGTTAGTTAGTTAGTTAGTTAGTTAGTTAGTTAGTTAGTTAGTTAGTTAGTTAGTTAGTTAGTAGTTAGTTAGTTAGTTAGTTAGTTAGTTAGTTAGTTAGTTAGTTAGTTAGTTAGTAGTTAGTTAGTTAGTTAGTTAGTTAGTTAGTTAGTTAGTTAGTTAGTTAGTTAGTTAGTTAGTTAGTAGTTAGTTAGTTAGTTAGTTAGTTAGTTAGTTAGTTAGTTAGTTAGTTAGTTAGTTAGTTAGTTAGTTAGTTAGTTAGTAGTAGTTAGTTAGTAGTTAGTTAGTTAGTTAGTTAGTTAGTTAGTTAGTTAGTTAGTTAGTTAGTTAGTTAGTTAGTTAGTTAGTTAGTTAGTTAGTTAGTCAGTTAGTTAGTTACAACACTATCCACTAGCCACAAATCACAGCTATAGTAAATAGTTATTTCCATACAAACTTAAGTCCTTTTTCATGTCACTACATGCCATAAAGGTATTATCCCTTGCGATATCCCTCGAAAAACATTTAAAAAGTTTCATTCATTATAAAAACGATTTCTATTGCATCAAGTACCTACAACTGTTACAAATCAATTAATGAACATTTCATACCTCCTGTCATGTGAACAGAAAACTAAATGAAGAAAAAAATATTATAAAACACATGACTTCCAGCAGTAAATGAGCTGCTGCATGCATAGAAAATGGAAATACAAGAGCAAACACTCATTGTATCATCATGTAACCCCACTGTTATAAAATGGACGTCAGCGACGATAAGGACAACGAGAATGGTATCATCATCATCATCAACGTTGGCGACAATAAAATAAACAAAGATATGTAGAGTAAAAAAAAGGAATTACAATCTGAATGGTGGTCATAGTACATATATATACGCAGATAACTATGACTCGTACTCGTGATATATATACGAAAAAGGTCATCATCAGCAAATGCTGGCAAAACAATATAAAATGGAATCATTTTAATATATTTTCTTGTTCCCTGATGCACTTTTGCTTTTTGCTACAAACAGACATACTACATGTACACTTATGAGGGTTTGTTTGTGTAGTTAATTTTACAATGTTGTACAATGTACGTAAGTGTATGTATGGATGGGAGTACATACATATTTATACATATGTATGTAAAGTATTGTACATACATGTACTTATGTACGTGCAACACTCTTACATATTTCTAGTTGTTAATGATGATGATAGTGGCATTGTTATTAGTAACCTACATACTTTTGTATAATAGAAAATATTTTCCTACCACATATACATACATAGATATTTTTTTGTCTCTCATACATATCGAACGGAATTAATAAATACTTTGTAAAGAATTTAAGACAATTATAAATTATAGATATTAGTTTTTCAATTAGTTAAAATGGTAAAGTTCCAGCAATAGGTTTGCGTGTCTTTATGAAACTTATTTTGATATTTTTGGGACACATTACATTATGGTAATGTGTTTAAAAATAAAAATCAATTTGAATTTTTAAGGATGGTAAAATTTTTAAAATGGCCATAAGGGAATATTGACAAAATTCAAACATTTATTAGGTCGTAGTAGTTTTTATCCTTTTGGCTTAATATAAAATAATTGGACATTGTAATTTCTGGACATAAATTTTGATGTTTCATTTTCATATTAATTAATCTGCTGATTAGGAAAATTTTGGAAAATTCACTATGATTTTTACCATTAACAGCAGGAAATGATCATAAGAATAGAAACATGTGTAAAAAATTAAGGCATCACTTGGTCTTAACTCCTAGTTTTTCTTTACAAAGTCAAGGATTTTAGCGTCCTCGAACAGATATACATTTTCCTAATAGTAAAGACAAGGTATAACTATTTAAACAGGATAAAAAGAGCTAACATTAGATTCGTGCTAAAAACATTTGATAAAACGAATAATTGCAAGAGTTTCTGGTCTCTCGCAAAAAGGAGAGAGTTGTACATACGATGCCAATAATTCCTCCTTGAGTTGAATATTTCCCTACTTGTGTAAGACTGTATTGACTCGATATGAAGAAATCCTCACTTCCATTCTTGGCATTGGAAATATATGCAACACTTCTTGTTGGTTGATATTTTCCCCATTAGGAAGTGATAAACTATGAAATGTTTCTCCTTAAACCCAGAATCACCAATTACAGTTTGTTTAGAAGAAAACCTATCAGGAGTCAAAGAAAAATCTCGAGAAAACAAATATCATTCCGATCGTGGAACATATGTATTTGAAACTTGCCGAGATAGAGATAATCATTTTAGAAACAACTTGTGCGAAGGCCACGAACCGACTGACAAAGGGGAATTGGATTAATTGCCAGATTAGTATCGGGATGCTTGATGCACCGATGATTAGTGAGTCAATCGTCAATCGTAATATTTTAATCTTGATAGTGACCGATTATTTGTATCAGAAGTATAATTTCTATTATGATCTAATGAAATCGGTTCAGACGATCACTGAACATAATTGATTCCAGGAATATATGATCGAATATGAACTTGTAATATTTTTATCTTCACAAATTTAGGCTCAAGTTGCGAAACCAGTTCAAGAATTTTTAGAAATTGGACGTTCGGAAGTTTTGCCTCAGCCGTATAAAAGTTCACATCTTGTACCTTCAACTACTATTTGTTCTGAATAGGCATCAGAGGTAACGCTCTGTGTTGATATGAGAAGGGTCCTATCTATTATGAATTAGTCCAGGCGATCAGAAGAGACCTGTACTAAAAATTCATATAAAGCGAAAATTGGCCGAAAATCGTCCGAAATATGTAACTTAACATGATGCTGTAATATTTTTATAATCAGAAACTAAAAGTTCTAGGTTTTTACTAAGTGTATTCAAATGATCTGAATAATACGAGGGGATATTTTTTTCATTATAACGATCGATCAGTGGTAACGCTCTGTATCTATGAACAAGTATAATTTTATCATCATAACGTTTGCCTTAAGATGTCAGTTTTTTTAGAAACTAAAGCTTCGTCTTAATATTCTGACCTTGTCCCTTCGACTATTATTTGTTCCGAAAAGGGCATAATATTATGTATCATGATAATGATCGACCAGAGGTGGTATCTTTCTGCTAAAATCGGTCGATATGATCACAAGACATCTGTAACGAACATTATTTATTCCTTTGAAGCGAGTATTGGTCACATCATAACGCCCGACCGCAAGTTGCAAGACCAGTTCAAAATCTCGTGCCTTTCAACTACTATTTGTTTCGACCGATGTAGGATACATTAACTGATCGATATATTATATAACGCGACATCTTATGAGAAAATTGTTACATTTAAGGCTTTAAAGTGTTTCTGGACTAAGCTCTTTTAAAGGGCCTATCTTCTGTAACAGAGTTCTTCCTAAATTCCGATTAGTATTTGGATTCATAGACAAACAGACACAGATCGAACTTACTAGATGTCACTAGGTTTTTATATATAATTTGTATTATGTCGATAATGAGGATAATGAGCATTAATTGTGAAAAATTTACAATAAACACGTTAGTTAGTTAGTTAGTTAGTTTGAAAGGAGGATGTATATACATCAAATCCGAAGAAATACACCTAGGCCTCTATCGGGCCTGTTGTGCGCTCCTTAACCAGTGCCTCAGGTGGGAATCGAACCCACCACCTCCGGTCTACCAGACTAGAACACTAACCACTAACCTACCGGAGGCCACCACACAATAAACACGTAATGATTACTTTAAATAACACTTCATTTTGCCCTTGATAAACATGTATTTTCATGTATATTTTCAATTTTAAGGTTTGCCACTCATTTTTTAAGGACAACAGCAAAAAAAAAAAAAAAGCGAAAATAATATGTTCGAGCTTTCGTCATAATTATAACTGCATTTATTTACACTGTTCTTCTTACATACATACCGTTAATTTATCGAATAATTTGCCTGTTGTTGTTTTTGCTATCAATTCGTCTAATTCCAATGAAAGTTTACGATAAAACCATTTTCTCACGCGATTTGAATTTTTCAATTCATGAAATAGGAACTGCATAACGAAATTTAGCGATGTCAATGAAGAAGCATCTGCGTCTTTACTATTCAAATTAATACCCAAGGGATTTGGTAACGATGGTGTGGTTGGTGCTCCTGCTGTTGTTGATGAGGTTGTGGCTGTTGCGGCTACAGCAGCAGCAGGTGACTGATTAAAAGCCAAAGCAGTTTGATGAAGAGTCTGCAAGAGATTAATGTTAATTAATTAAAGGTTTTTTTCTTATAAAAATATTGTAAGTAAGTGGTAGCTTACCGTTGGTAATTTATATTTTGAATTGATGTCCTTCTGTTCGGCTGTCTCCTCGGGCAGTAGGGAGAATTTCATATACACATAATATTGCAGCAGTAATATAAAAACTGCTCCAATTATAAAGAATATAAAACACAATAGTATTAACATTGAAAAGTTTATATCCATATTGATTGATTTGTTAAACGTGCCGTTTTAATAATTTCCAAAATTTTTTGCTTCTTATTATTAATTGTTATTGTTTTTTTTTTTTTAAATTATGATTTATTTGTTTGGTATTTTTGCAGATTAATTTTAATTATATTTCATCATTTTAAACACACACACACACACACACTTTCTACACTCGTCCACAGAGACGGAAAAGTCAATAAATTTGTTTGAAAATAAGTTATTTTTAGTGTATTGTTTAATATACAATAGATTGGGACACATTTACTTAGGGTGTGGGTTGTTTGTAGTTCTTAGCTAAAGAAAACTTTTTTTTTCAGCAGACGTGTTACATTTCAAAGGATTCAGGGAAATCACTTTTTTTCTTTTTATTATAAATTAACACTTTTCGTATAAATAAACTTTTCTTAATATTATTTTTTATAATTTTCACAATTTCTGTGTAGATTTTTTTTAATAAATTTCTTATATTAATTTAATTTCCGTATTTCCGCTTTTGTTTATTTGACGTGTCTATATCACTTGCACTTGTATGGACATTAATATTCAAAACGTATTTTTCAATTGAAGTGCTTGCGCTCTGGGGGTGCATTTTGTGTTCCATTCCATTTTGTTTACACGCTCTTTCCCAAACAACCCCTTAAAATCGATAGTTGCGCCGGAGTTTAGTTTTGTTGTCATCAGCTGTTCGTCTGGCAATGAAACATGTTTGTTATTCAGTTGTTCGTTTGCATTTGTTTTTGTTTATATTTTGTTTACGATTTGTTTGTTTCCAAACAAATCCGGCATTTTAATGTTTTCATTTGATTAAAAGTAAACAAACCAAATCCATTTCATTCTTGTTTGTTCCTGTGGCAGCGACGGTGGTGGTGTTTTGCATTGTTTTGTTTTCTCTTTTGTAAAACAGTGGGTGTCAAGGATGTATTTGAAAGTAAAGTTTATGGTCAGCTACAAGAATCCTAAGCATGAAACTTTTGAAATTTATATTTCGAATTGGGGTTGATCTTGAAGTTGTGATATGAAATGATGTCATTAAAACAAAATCATGATTGTTTTTCGTTCATTTATTTTTAAGCGAAATAAAGTATTATTAATTTATATTGAACGATTTAGAGATTTAGATGAAAGAGATTGGAGTAAAATAAAAGTGATCACAGCTTTTCAATATTTTCTTGATTGGAGGCTTATTTAAGAAATTAGAGCCGATTTTAGTTTTCTATATAAAACATCGGTATCTCGTAGGAAATAAAAGTGATCACAGATTTTCAATATTTTCTCGATTGGAGGCTTCTTTAAGGAATTAGAGCCGATTTTAGTTTTCCATATAAAAAATCGATATTTGGTAGGAAATAAAAGTATTCACAGATTTTCAATATTTTCTCGATTGGAGGCTTCTTTAAGGAATTAGAGCCGATTTTAGTTTTCTATATAAAAAAACGATATTTGGTAGGATATAAAAGTGATCACAGATTTTCAATAATTTCTCGATTGGAGGCTTATTTAAGGAATTAGAGCCGATTTTAGTTTTCCATATAAAAAATCAATATTTGGTAGGAAATGAAAGTGATCACAGATTTTCAATATTTTCTCGATTGGAGGCTTATTTAAGGAATTAGAGCCGATTTTAGTTTTCCATATAAAAAATCGATATTTGGTAGGAAATAAAAGTGATCACAGGTTTTCAATATTTTCTCGATTGGAGGCTTCTTTAAGGAATTAGAGCCGATTTTAGTTTTCATTATATAAAAAATCGATATTTGGTAGGAAATAAAAGTAATCACAGATTTTCAATAATTTCTCGATTGGAGGCTTATATAAGGAATTAGAGCCGATTTTAGTTTTCCATATAAAAAATCGATATTTGGTAGGAAATGAAAGTGATCACAGATTTTCAATATTTTCTCGATTGGAGGCTTCTTTAAGGAATTAGAGCCGATTTTAGTTTTCTATATAAAAAATCGATATTTGGTAGGAAATAAAAGTGATCACAGATTTTCAATATTTTCTCGATTGGAGGCTTCTTTAAGGAATTAGAGCCGATTTTAGTTTTCTATATAAAAAATCGATATTTGGTAGGAAATAAAAGTGATCACAGATTTTCAATATTTTCTCGATTGGAGGCTTTTTAAGGAATTAGAGCCGATTTTAGTTTTCTATATAAAAACTCGATATTTGGTAGGTAATAAAAGTGATCACAGATTTTCAATATTTTCTCTATTGGGGGCTTCTTTAAGGAATTAGAGCCGATTTTAGTTTTCCATATAAAAAATCGATATTTGGTAGGAAATAAAAGTGATCACAGATTTTCAATATTTTCTCGATTGGAGGCTTCTTTAAGGAATTAGAGCCGATTTTAGTTTTCTATATAAAAAATCGATATTTGGTAGGAAATAAAAGTGATCACAGATTTTCAATATTTTCTCGATTGCAGGCTTCTTTAAGGAATTAGAGCCGATTTTAGTTTTCCATATTAAAAATCGATATTTGGTAGGAAATAAAAGTGATCACAGATTTTCAATATTTTCTCGATTGGAGGCTTCTTTAAGAATTAGAGCCGATTTTAGTTTTCATATAAAAAATCGATATTTGGTAGGAAATAAAAGTGATCACAGATTTTCAATATTTTCTCTATTGGAGGCTTCTTTAAGGAATTAGAGCCGATTTTAGTTTTCTATATAAAAAATCGATATTTGGTAGGAAATAAAAGTGATCACAGATTTTCAATATTTTCTCGATTGGAGGCTTCTTTAGGAATTAGAGCCGATTTTAGTTTTCTCATATAAAAAATCGCTATTTTGGTAGGGAAATAATAGTGATTCACAAGATTTTCAACTAATTTTCTACGATTGGAGGCTTCTTGTAGGATATTATTAGCGCGATTTTAGTTTTCAATATAAAAATCGTATCTGGTAAGGAAATAAAAGTGATTCACAGATTTTCAATATTTTCTCCCGATTGAAGTCTTCTTTAAGGAATTAGAGCCCGATTTTAGTTTTCTATATAAAAAATTCGATCTTTGGTAGGAAATAAAGTGATCACGAGATTTTCACATATTTTCTCGATTGAGCTGTAATTGTAGGAATTAGAGCCGATTTTAGTTTTTCCTATATAAAAACTTCGACTATTTGGTAGGAAATAAAGTGCTCACAGCTTTTCAATTATTTTCTTGATTTGGAGGCTTCTTTAAGGACATTAGAGGCCGATTTTAGTTCTTCCATATAAAAATTCGTAATTGGCTAGGAATAAAAGTGATGTTAAGATTTTCCACTATTTTCTCGATTGGCAGGCTTCTTTTTAGGAAATTAGAGCCGACTTTATTTTTCTATATAAAAATTCGATATTTAGTTTTCTATAAAATAAAAGTGATCACAGATTTTCAATATTTTCTCGATTGGAGGCTTATTAAAGGAATAAGAGCCGATTTTTTATACTATACCTTGCACTTTTCTTTTTTTCGTTAGTAAAATGAAATACTTGTGATTTTTTTTTAATTTTTTATGTTGTCATGTATTTGAAAAAAATTATTTAGTTTTTTTTTACTGCAGTTTTTTCGGTTTTTATAATTATCCATAATTTTATAATTTATTTATAACAATAATAACTAAATTGTTTTTTTTTTTATTTTTTGGATTTTTATTTTTGGTTGTCTTTTTTGTTATAATTACTTTTTTTTGTTTTTCATTCGTAGTCTGTGGTGTGGACAAAAATTGTTTTGTTTTTTATTAAATAGTTTTTTTTTTGTTTTTTTTTTTTTTGTTAATAAAAAAATAAAGAATAAAAATGGTATTAATGAATAAAATGCATAGTTGTTGTTGTTATTATATACTGAACCCAGAAAAAAACATTTTTAAAATGAGAAGAAAAAAGTAAAAAATAATAAACTAATTGAAATAAAAAAATTTAAAGCTTTTATTATATTGGAAATATTTATTGAATTGTAAGTGAAATATTAGTTTGAAATACAATTTAAAGAAAATGGAACGGCATGATGATCACTTTGCAGGATGTGATCTTGGATAAATAGTGAGAAAAGCTTTAAATTTTTATTAGATTTGAAATTAAGTTCCTAGAAACCCACAAGGTGCTGAATTTGATCCTTTAAGGAACTCCGATGGCTTTTATTAAATTTATAAACGAGAAAAACAAGATTTTGGAAAAAAGTCAAATAATCTTTGTGGATTTTTAATCCTCAATTCAATAAATATTTCCCTATATAATTGAAAACCATTTGAATTAATTTCAATAAATAATATTTTTTCGAACAGAGAAAAACTTAATTGTATAAATTGGCTCAGTTCTGAAATCTATATTTTTTTTGTAAAATAATTAAAAGAAATTTTCAATAATTTATTTTTGTTAAATTTTGTTTTTATTTGTTTTTTTTTAATAACTTTAAGAAAATTTTAAGAATTTTTAGCGTTTATTTTGTAAATGGGGTTTATTTTTGTTTTGTTTTCTTTTATTATATTTATTTCATTTTTCTTTTTGTTTCTTGTTGTATTTTTTGGTAAAAAATCGTTTGGTTTTTTTTTATTTAATAGAAATAAATTATTATTTTATATAAATTTTTTAACTACTTGTTTTATGTTTTTCTTCTGTTTTATTCAATACGTATTTACAAATCTTAGCTTCAACAAAGAAAACAATTTACGCGTTTTTTTCTTTTTCATCTGATTTTCAGTTAAATTCAAAAAAATGCTTGTTTTTTTAATAATTAAGCGGTTTTTTTTTTTGTTTTGTTATAAAGATTGATGTTTGGTTGGTAATAAAAAAAGTATTTTTTTTTTGTTTTTTCTTTAAGTTTTTAAATGTATATAAGTTTGTTTTGTTTTTGTTATTATTATATTTATATTGAATTTGTTTTTCTTGTTGTTATTATTTAGTTTATTTATTAAATGCCAAATTATAGTTATTTGTTTTATTTTTATTTATTTATATATTTTTATGCATGTATATGTATGTTGATATTGATGGGAGCGAGGAGGAGTAGGAATAAATTCTGTGGAGTTTTAACTACTGAAAACTGTAAATATGAGAAACGAAATAAATCTGTTTATGCTTTTATTTGCCTACTCTGAGGGAAATTCTGTCTAAGGCTTTGAATTAAAAATAAAAAAACATTTCAAAAGATTTACAAAAAATTATATAAAAGATTCATAACGGATCTTAAAGTCCAGAATAAAGGCTGACTATGGTCAAGACTAAAGCATGCTCTTCAAGTCGAGGTTCAATAGACTGATCTCTAGTAAAGATTATAAACTGATCTATAGCCAATATTATATACAGGTTTAGGACTACAGACTGATCAATAGTCAAGATCTGTGTCAAGACTATAGACTGATCTGTAGTCAAAAATATAGATTTATGTATAGACTATGCACTGATCTATAGTTAAACCTATAGACTGATCTATAGTCTATAGACTGATCTATGGTCAAGAGTATAGACTGATCTATAGTCCAGACTGAAGACTGATCTATAGTCAGGATTATAGACTTCTCTATAGTCAAGACTTTTGACTGATCTATAGTCAAGATTATAG